CCCCCCGACCCCGCAGCGCCCCAATCCAGTTGGCCCGGAGGCGTCTGGGACACCCCCCCCAACTCCAGCAGAGGGGCTGCGGGACTGTGGGGGCCCGGAGTGGGGCTGTGCGTGTCCCAGGCTCCCTCTCCCCCACTCACACACATTTGGGATCCATTTCCTCCGCTGACCGGGGGAGACCCGCCACCCACGTCACCCTCATCCCTCCTCCGGCCTCCGGCGGGTCTTGCGGCGGGATGCACCCCCCCCATCCCCAGCCGAGTCCCCTGGGTGGTCCCAGGATGGGAGACGGGGAGGGATCAGCGGACATCCATGCGCGGAGCTGGGGGGCCTCAGCGAGGGGGGACAACCTCCAGGCGGGACGGAGAGCGGCTCGGCAGCCTGCAGCCCTGGAGGGGATGGATTTGGCAGGGGGGTGCTCCAGCCCTTCCTGGGGGGCTAGGCCGTGCGGCACACCGTTCCCTCTTTCTCCGGCAGTGCTGACTCCGGCTCCAGCCTGGAAACTTGTGCTCAGCTGGCCGTGACCATGAGGGTGTGAGTCAGGGTGCGGGACGTGCCAGGGGGAAGGACACACCGGCAGGACGAGCCACGGCTGGCATGGAAACCTGGGCATGGAGAGGACGTGGGCACTGTAATGCCCCCCTCCCCATCCCTCAGTTTCCCATCTATACTCTGCATAAAACCGCCAGCGCAGAAAGGAAGGGCAGGGTGGGACGGGAGGGAGGGGGGCTGCCCTTCCCAGAGACTGGGGGACTCCTCCCAAAGTGCAGCATCCTCTCCCCAAAATACCCCTGTCTCATCGCCCTCCGCCCCACCACTGTGCTATGTTCACCCAGCCCAGGGTAGTGATACCCCTGTGGGGACGTGCCAGCTGGGACGGGGGACAAGGGGACACTTCTCACCTCTCCATGCCAACCAGATCCAGGGACAGAGGGAGGCTGGGGGGACTGATCCTGCTCACAGCACCAAACAAGCAAAGAGCCAGCCTCGCCCACCCCCTCACACACCCATCCCCACCATTACACCCCTCATTGATCAATCTGGTTACTGCTCACAAATGAAAGCCCCAGTGGAGAGAAGTTTCCACACCCCCCATAAATCACCTCCTCCCATTCACTGCCGTAACAATCCCAGGCTCCTCAGAAGGGCAGGGACAAGGGTCATGCGACAGGGACAGGGCAGCCGCAGGGACACAGCCCATCACCATCATCTAAGGCTCGTTTTCTCAGCAGGTGGACACACACGGGGTCACTTAGCACAGGGACATCCCCCACCACGGTTCCTAGTGGTGTAGGCATGTAGTCCCAGTGCAGGGCCAGCCTTGGCAGGACTCCTTTGTGTCCTGGGGTCACCACATCCCCAAGGTCCCCACATCCGCTTCCAGCAGAGCTGTCCCCACACTGCTCTTGGGTGCACAGGGCACACACACACACAACATCACACATGTCCCCCCTGTGTACATGCCAGGACACGTCATGTACGCCACACACACAGCCCATGGCACACATGGTGCGTGGGTCCCATGTGCGTGGGTGCACAGAACGGACTGAGACACCCCTCTACAACAGCTCACACCAACATAAAGCCCTGCTGCTACTGCCCCCAGCACACACACCCTATGTTAGGGGACACACACCCTATGGCAGCACCACAGAGACCTCCTGTGCACCCACACCCGTGTGAGCTGCAGCTCACTCTCACCTCAGTCCCATCTGCATGCCCATGAACACACATGCACAAGTACACATGTTACATCCCCCCACGAGTCCGTGTTCTCACACACACATCAGAAGCACACGGACAAAGTGGTGGACATGGGACTGCACAACCACCAACCCACATCTCACCAGTGCCACCCACCCACCCACAGCCCTGACCACCCCCCAGTACTCCCATCAGTTCACGATCCTGCATCCTTGGCGCACTCTGGGGTACCCAAGCAGTCAGAGGCCTCTCCTTCCTCCAGGCTGTGTCCCTGTCCTGGCATATACTGGACTGTCACCAGTCTGCAGTGACTCCCTCAGCCACTGCCTGGCAGGGGCTTTGGCACCTGCTTTTCTGGCATGGTGCAGCTGAAGTGTCCCATGCCATCCTGCCAGCCACGGGGCAGCTTCCCAAAGACTGAGGAACGAAGTGAGGGTGGCGCAGTGGGAGTCCAGCACCCTCCAACAGCTTCCCCCCCTCTCTGCCTCAGTTTCCGCAGCCTGGGCAGCAGAGCAGAATAAGTCCCTGCACCAGCTGCTGTATGGGCATGGGGATCCCCTGTGGGGCAATCCTTGGGCACACGGATCCCACACATGCCAGGTGCTGATGGGCACAGAGGTGCCCTACACAGGGTGACCCCACAGGGTTCTCTCATGTTGGGCACAGGGAGCCCACACTGACTGAGTACTTTATGGGCATGGTGCTTCCCAGTGCCAGGTGTTTACAGGTACAGGGATCCCTCACACTGACCACTTTATGGGCACAGGGATTTCTTGTGGGAGGTGTTTAATGGGCACTGGGGTCCCCTCATGCAGGGCATAGTGTTCCTTCCCATTGTGAGTTCTATAAGGACACAGAGACAGCCCCTGCCTCTACGGTCTCTCTGTAAGGACACAGGGATCCCAGCAGATTCATTCGAATGAAAGGTTGTACAGCAGATCCTCTCCAGTCAGGTACTGCAGGGGTCCTCGTGTGTCGGAAGAGAGGATCACAGTGAGACGCTGGGGGCGGGGGGGAGGCAAGAGAAGGGACAAAGGACATGCCCTGCACCCTGGCATGCATATGCAGGGTTTAACCCCCAGCTGCCCGGAGCAGGCAGGGCCAGCGGCAACCCATACCCCCACTCCCCGCACCCCGGAGCCCCCCAGCTCCGTGTCCCCCGCAGCCCCTAACCCTAACGCTGTGCCCGGCGATGCCCGCTTACCTCCCGNCACGCTCCCCCTCCTCCCCCTCCTCCTTCTCCTCCTCCTCCTCCTCCTCCTCCTTCTCCCGCACACGGGGCTCGGGGCTTGGCACCTCCGGCGCTCACCCGCCTGCCCTCCGGGCACGGCATCCCCTGGGGTGGATGCCAGACCTTAAGAGGGTCCCCCGTTCCAGCGCCGTCAGTTTTGGGGGTGCAGGAAGTCGCACACCGTGGGTTCAATCGCAGCTCAATCCACGACCCTCGCCCCAACCCTGTCTCAGTTTCTTTACAGTACCCCCTGCCCACCCCTAGCCCTAAATGTCAGTGCCTACACACGGGCGAGGGGGAACTTCCCTCCCCCGCTGCCAGTCCTCCTTGTATCCCACCAAGGATCTCCTCAGGAGCCTGGGGACACAGTCAGGGACTCCCCACACTGTTCCCTTTCCGGTGGGGTCACCTCCCCAAAGCCTGCCTGGCTGATGCACCGTGCTGTGGGCACAGAATTACCGTGGGGAACCTCTCACTGCAGGACAGCTCAAAACGGCCGGGGCACCTCCACCTCGCCATGGGGCTCACACAGGGCAGGGGAACAGAGTAACAGGGTGCAGCCCCCTGGGCACCACACATCCCACATGCACCCATCGAGGCAGTGCCAAGAGGAGCAGGCAGCAGCACCCCTGGATGCTGCCAGGATGCCGTGCTGATGCCGGGCAAGGACCCATCCCCACGGGGCAGCTGCTGGTGCCAAGCGTGGGCAGCAGCCATGCCAGGCATGGGCACTAATTGCATTTGCCTTGGGGAGCTTCCTAACAAGCAGCAGCATCAGGGTGGGGTGCAGGAAGTTTGGGTGGTCCCCCACACTTCATGGCTGTCCCCCACAGCTCTGTCTGGCACTCTGGGGGGGGCAGAGGGCTGGCGGGCAGAGGGGGCCAGTGAGCCTCAGGAGGTGACATCACTGCTGGCTCCATGGTCCCCCACCTCCATTTAATTAGCAGATGGCCCCCGGCTTCCCCCCCCCACCCTGGCGGGCAGCGCCAGGCCTGTGCGGGGCCATTAGCTTTATTGGCTGTGCTGAACCAGGGCCAGGCCTCGTTAATTGAATTGCACCCACGCCAAGGATGGGTGAGAGTCTTCTCTACCCCCCCCAGTCCCCAGCACCCCGCCCTGGCCCTTGGCTGGGGCAGGGAGAGGGGACCCTGCTGCCAGGCTGCCGCAGTGGCACAGCGAGCAGGGACTTGCAAGACTTGGGGTCTTTCCCTTGCAGGGCCTGGCACGGGGCACATGGGTGGGTGCAGTGAAGGGCACTCAGGGTGCCCTCTCAGCCTCGCAGCCACAGCAGCCACACATGTACAGCTTGCACCCACACATGCAGCCACACAGCTGTGCTCGCACAACTTGCACACGCGTGCAATCACACACACACACACACACACACACATACATCACACACACACACACACACGTGCAATCACACACACACACACGTGCAATCACACACACACACACACACACACGCACACGTGCAATCACACACACACACACACACACACACACACACACACGTGCAATCACACACACAACCCCAGCACAGTGGGCTGATGCTCCACTGCCACCCAACACCCTGCCCATACCCCTATCCAATATGGGGTGCTGTGCCCCATGCCCACAGTGCCACACACTGCAGGGTGGCACAGACCAATGGGGTGCTGAGGAGGCTGAGGTCACCCCGAGTACTGCCACTGGCTCCCCTATGCTCTCCAGCTGCACCTACAGGCCAACACCCACCCAAGAGACGGGAGGCTGCTGGGAGGCCCAGGCTCCCACTCACCATCACTTCCTACTTTCACTTTGGTGCGGAGCGAGGCCTGGCCAGGGGGACTCGGGTGTCCCCCAAGACATCCAGGTGGCACAGGTAGGGACAGTGTGTGCTGCAAGGAGGGGCATGGCAGAGGATGGGACATGGGCATCGCTGTGGCCATTCACCAAGATGATGGTGGGGAGTGGGATGACAGCGGGTCCTCCTGCCTGGACTGGTGGGATGGGCTGGTATCACCTCTGACATCCCCTCCACAGGGGTTTTTCAGTACCCAGTCCAGAAGGAGCCCGCAGGACAGGGCTGACACAGTACAGGGGTCCAGGCACAGTGAATGAGGCACACTGCTGGGCCGGGGGCTCCCTAGCAAGAGGGAGCCTTATCCAGAATGTTCTGGAAAGAGCTTACACACTGGCTCTGGGTGTAGCCCTCATGTGGAGGCCAGATGATTGGGGAGGGTTGTGGTTCTTGCTGGGGGGGGGCTGCAGCTCCTGCAGGGGTCTCTGTGCCCAGGGACTGTTGTGCACAGGGGTGGCCTCTGTGCCAGGTTCTCCTGCTGGTTGCTTCTAGCAGAGTACGGGTCCTGGATCCCCTCCACAAAAACTGCAGGCAGGTTCTTCAAAATATTTCAAATTTCCATTAATATTGGAGAGCATCAGGGTCCCCCCCATGCCTGACACTGTCCTTCCTCTGCCCCTGCAAAAGCTACATAGGGGGGCCAGCCTTGCTGACCCTTTCCCCCGAACTTGCACCCCCCAAAACAGGGAGCCAGGTGCTGGGGGCTAAACTGCAGTGCCTGATGTGATGTGGGACAGGCAGGCTGTGGCTTCTGCAGCCCCACCAACCTCCCACACTTCCTCCTGCCCAAGGTACAAAAGGAGAAGCAGGCAGGCACAGCGTGGCCACGGGGACATGCCAGCGCACCCGCAGCACTCAGCAACCACCTCGGGGCACCCCGGACACAGGTAAGGGGCTTCTCTTCCCAGGGGAAACTGAGGTACAAGTAGGGTGGGCAGATGAAAAGATAGCTCATCCAAGGTCTCTCAAGGACACTGGAATAGTAGCGCAGGTAGCCTGAGATTTGTGTCCTGCTGTCTCACTCTGCCGTGGTAGAGAGCACAGGGCACTCACACACTTGGGCACGTTTGGGTAGACCGGTGCACCCACTGCTGTGAGTGCATGTGCACCCTGCTGGGCACCCCAACACACCATCCAGACACCAGCCACAGTGACAAGTCACAGTCCTGCCACCTCCATGGGTTATTTCCCTCACCCTGTCCCAAGCTTCCAGCCACCCTAAAATCACTCTGCTGCACTGTGCCCTGTGGGCTCCACCTCATGCCCACTGCTCACCCAAACCCCATGCCAGCCATGCAGACAACATGCTGTGCCAGAGGGTTCTGCCTAGGGAGATGAGCTTAGGGGGCTGCATGTCAGGGGTGGTGTGCCCCCTTGCTCAACCACCCAGGACCCCCCTCACTGTTCATGATGTGAGTGAGGGAAGCGAGAGCAGAAGCAAAAGCAGCACTTCCCCTGCGCCAAACCCACATCCTGAATCCCGGCAGACAGGGACAGGGATAAGGACAGGGACACACTAGGGACGTGGTGGGCTCAGCCCCAGGAACTCCCCAAGGAATGGGAGCAGAGGCTGAGGATGTACAGGGGCAGGGCACATGGACAACTAAGAGGGTGCAGGAAGGGACACCTTTGTCTGCCCCATCTGCTCTGGCCTATGTAGTGGGGGAATATGGACAGGGAAAGGGGTGCCTAAACCTACCCCCTCTCACCTCTTAACAGCAGGCAGCTCTGGGATAGAGCTGGGGGGGCAGACCCTCTCTCGGACAGAGAATTTGGGGGTGCCAGGGCAGTGCCAGCCTAGAACTTCTCATCACTGCCCTTGCCTCTGCAGATCCCTGTGAACAGCCATGGCAGGGGAAGGGGAGCTCAGCCGTGTCATCAAGGACCTGCAGAGTAAGTGTGCCAACCAGTCCCCTGCCAGCGTGTTCCCTGCATGGCACATCTCATCCTGGCCATGCCAGATCCCTTCCTGCACCCAAGTCGTGGGCAGCGGTGGGTGTCACTGCCACACATGCTCCAGAGAATCCCCCTGCCAACCCTGCCACTGCTGCCTGCTCCCATCCTCACTGCCAGCCCCTGGGAACCAGCAGTGCCCAGGAGGTGGCCATGCTCCTTGCTTCTCCTGCTCCCCTCCTTCATCCCAGGGCAAGTTCCTCTTTCTCTTTGAAGAAAAGGAGGCTCTGTGGGGTATCCTATCACTCTCTACAATTACCTGAAATTAGGCTGTAGACAGGGAGGAGTCAGTCTCTTCTTCCCAGTTACAAGGGTTAGGACAAGAGGAAATGGCCTCAAGTTGTGCCAGGAGGTTTAGACTGGATATTAGGAAAAATTTCTTCATGGAAATGTTTATCAAGCATTGGAACAGGCTACACAGGGAAGTAGTGGAGTCATCACCCATGGAGATATTTAAAAGATGTGTAGGTGTGGCATAGTACATGGTTTAATGGTGGACTTGGAAGTGCTGGGTCAATGACTGAACTCAGTCTTGGAGGTCTTTTCCAACTTAGATTCTATGACTCTATGGTTTTATCCACCATCAGAAATCCCTGAGGCCAGGAATGAGGCAGTGGGAAGAGGGGTAGGATGGGAGAGGGTGCCATGCCAGCCCAGCCCTGCCATCCCACAGAGACTGTGGCCGAGCTGAAATGCCGCTACCAGGAGCAGAACCTGCCGGTGACAGACGGGAGCCGGGAGCTGCACAGCCTCTGTGCCCACCTAGAGTTTCTCCTCCAGGTACTGCTGCTCCCTCCCTCGTTTCCCCTTAGGCACAGCTGAGAGCAGAAGGGACCTTGTGTTAACCATTCAGGGGATGGAATAACCCCACCCAGCATTGTCTGGTGTTGCCGCTGAAGATGAATAGATCACACGGACACAGGTCGAGGTGTGGTGAAAAGAAGAGAAAGTTTATTTTTCTTCCCAGGATTTATAGGCTCCTGACCACGGCCAGGGATTGGATGGTCAGGATAACACTTTCTCACTGCACTGGCCATGAGAGATGCCCATCACAAGACGTGTAAGACGTGTTTCTTTCATCACAGAAAGAATGTACACGTATCTATGTTTGCAGTTACTGTCCTGGGAAAGTCCTTAGAAAACTATGTTAGCAAGCTCAAAAGCTGAGTTTTCAGGGCGACAGTCTGGCCCTGGACCAGGCTCTCCCTTGTCCACATGTGTAACTACATGTGCCGCAAAAGGGAAATTGAGGTATGGAGCCAGTGAAGAGAGGGACACCCGGACCAACCCTGTTGGGGGAGTTAGCTGGATTCCAGCCCTACAGGGTACAGGCTGGGGGAAACAGGGACACCCTCAAAAAAGAAAGTCCAATCTTATACCTCTGCCAGTTTGACCTCAAGGAGAAGAGGAGCTTCTTTGGGCAGCGCAAGGACTATTGGGACTTCTTGTGCCAGGGCCTAGCACGGTGCCGGCAGGAGCATGAAGGCATTCACTTTGTCACTTCCCTGGACAAGGTGAGCACGGGCTGCTGGGATACCCAGGGACTTGTGCACACACACAGGCTTTTTCCAGCTTGTGGGTGCACATGCACCTGTGCACAGGCACACACTCACTTGGACACCAAGCATTTGTCCACTGGTACTATAAACAGTTTTGTCCCCCCTGGGATCCCCCACTGCACCCCAGCCCTAGCCCTGGGGACCCTCTTTCCCCCTGCGTGGGCTGTGTGGGAGGTGTGGGGCAGACTGGAGTGACAGGGGTCGATAACCCCCTCTCTCCCTCAGCTGAAGACCCCTGTGGGCAGGGGCCGGGCCTTTCTGCGGTACTGCCTGGTGCACCGGCAGCTGGCAGAGTCCCTGCAGCTCTGCCTCCTTGACCCTGAGAATCTCTGGTGAGAGCAGGGGCACAGTGAGGGGATGCTCATGGTGGTGGGGGACATGGCCAGGGTGGGCAGTGCCCTGCAGCACCCAGTCAGCAAAGGTGCTGCTGGCATATGTACCTGTCCAGGGCATAGAGGGATGCATGAGCCTGTTTTGTGGTTGCAGCGAGTGGTACTACGCCCGCAGCCCCTTCCTGAGTCCCAAACGGCGAGCAGAGATCCTGGGCAGCCTCTATGAGCTGGACTGTGTCACCTTCCACCTGGCCCTGTACAGGGATGACCTGGACACCGCCTGGCCCATGTTCTCTGAGTGAGCCTGGGGACACTGGGGGCACCAGGGGCATTGGCAGCACTGGGGGTGTTGAGGGCATCAGAGACACCTGGGGCTTAGCATCACAGAGAAGCACATGTGCATTGCCCCACTGCCCTAGACCCCACACTACACTCCAGATGTGCCAGCTCTCCATATGTGGCCCCAGGAGGGCACAGTCAGTGGCACCAGCATGCACACTCTGCCTGTGCCTGCAAACATGTCACGTGCATGTGTACACACACAGAGCCGTCCTCTGCCAAGTATATCCCTGCTGCAACACCATGACACTGTGACATCTGACACACAGGGACACGTGTATGTGCTTACACACCCTTGCCCCAGGCACGCTTGTTGGGGGACACTCATGGATGCAGCTGTTCCAGCACACTCACCCCTGTTGTGCTGCTCTCACGCTCGTGTGCACGGAATGCCACAAGCACACGTGCTTGGGTCGATGGGTGCCACATGTTCTGTGGGTGCTCGGGCTGGTGACACCAACATCCCTCTGCCCTGCTGCCCCCTAAATTCCTAAAGGCTGGCTGTGCCCAAGGAGCCTAAATGGTGGGTGGTGATGGCCTGTTCACCTTGGGGGTGACCTGCTAGTCCTGAGCTCTGTGTCCCCTCTAGGCCACTGGTACGGCCCAGCCCGGTGATCAGGAGCAGCCCAGCAAAGACAGCCCTGCAGACAGACAGTATTGGCACTGTGGCACATGGATGGTCCGATGGCACTGGCCATCCCACTGTGGCGCTCCATGGGACACCAGCCCATCTGTGCCCACCCACTTTGGCTGCCCTGCAGGCAGGGAGCGTGGAAATGGAAAATATAGACAATGGGGAAGTGAAGAAGGACATGGAAGAGGAGGATGAAGAGGAGGTAGAGAAGGATGACAGTGAGGATACAAAGGAGATGAAGGTGGAGGATGTGGAAGTGGACATGGAGGAGGATTTGGAAGAGAAGGAGGAAGAGCTGGAGAAGGATGAGAAGGAGATGAAGGATGTAGATGTAGAGGAACTGGAGGATGCACATGGCACTGACAAAGCAGCCCAGCCTGATGGTGCTGGAGGGTCTGGCATGTCCCCACTGTCGACTGGCACAAGGTGCATGCTGGGGTCCCTGTCACTGGTGCCCAGGCAGCCAGGTGGGACAGAGGAATCCCTGCAGGCTCTGGTGTCCCAGCTGAGGGCCGAGCTGGGTCAGCATGAGGCGGCAGCACAGGCGCTGGCAGTGCGGCTGGCACAGGCGGAACTGCGGCACCAGCAGCAGGAGGAGGACAGTGCCCAGCGGGCCCAGCTGTGGGCACGCGAGGCTGAGGCACTGCGGGAAACCAACACCTTCCTGCAGCGGGCACTGGAGGCAGCAGTGGCAGCAGGGGACCCGGGGGCACTGGCACGGGCACAGGAGGAGGCACGGGGCTGGCAAGAGGTGGCAGAGGAGCAGGGTACCCGGCTGGCCAAGGCGCTGGCGGAGGCGGCGGTGCTGACCTCACGCCTGCAGGAATGCCAGGAAGCGCTGGTGGCGGCAGGACAGACGGACATGCTGAAGGATGCTGGTACTTCAAATGAGGTGGCTGCTGTGGAGAAGGTGCTGCAGCAGGCACTGGAGTTCGCCTGTGGTCCCCAGGAGCCCCCAGCAGCCCCCCAGACAGAAGAAGAACCAAGCACGGTCACCAGTATGGCCATGGTATGGGAAATTCCAAGGGAATCCTGTGGCGGGGTGTGGGTTTGGGGTCCAGGATTGAGCCCCCACTCTGCTCCAGCGCTTGGCCAGCCTGGCCGCCACAGCACAGGAGGAGAACTGGCAGAGCCGGCAGCAGCTCCAGGCACAGCAACAGGAGATGGCACGGCTGCAGGAGGAGCTCAGCAGGTAGGACATGGACCCCTCCACCCATCACCTCACACTGGGACCTCCCTATCTCCACCTGCCACATGGTTTCCCCTGGGGCCCCCAATGATGTCCTGCTTGGACACAGCCAAACAGCAGCTGGGAATTGGCAGGGAGAGGGAGGGAGGGATTTGAGGGGGGAGGACTGGCTGATAGGTAGGTGGAGGGATAGGTAGGGAGAGAGTTGGAGTGGTTTGGCAGTAGTAGATAGAGGGACCAATTTAGGATGAATGGATGGAGATGGGACGGTGGATGGAGAGACACAGGGATGAGTTTGGGGTGAGTGGGCAGAAGGCCAGGGGTACAGATGTGGGGAAGGATGGATGAACAGTGGGGAAACGGATGGGTGGCAGATGGCACAGTGGCTGTGAGGATAGGGGTAGAACTTGAGGATGGACGGGCAATAGCAGAAAAAAGAAGGGAGGGAAGAAAGGAGGGAGGGAGCGAGGCAGAGAGGGAGGGAAGAACCAGCGGCGGGAGGTTTATCCGCATGCATGGAGGGATGGAGACGGTCAGCTGAGAAACAGGGGGACCATGCCGCC